TAAGTCCCTTCCCCGTCCACCTTTATTCTTTTCTTTACAATAAGGCTTTCAAATAAGTCATGGTTGTACGGTAGTGAAGCATCGGTGTTGAACACTGATGTCATGCTGTCGTTGATGATGATGACGATGATGATGATGATCAATTGAAAATATAGAGTAAAAATGAGTAATTAAAGCATAATGAACGTATGGTTTACATAGTATACTACTGTTGCAATATGAAAAATTGGAATCGTCGAGATCATTTTTTTAGGTATTGCACTAAAGCTTACAATGCCCTTGCAGTCGCAGTTGAGCTGGGTATATTAGGCGGAGGGTAGCACCGACTCATATGGGCACGCTAAGATTTCCAAAACCTACTCTGGGTGGTGTAGTAGTCAACATCTCTGATTTACAGCGCAGACAAAACGCCGAAATGTGACTTTTTAGGCGTAAGCAGTTGCTTTCGGCCACAATTGACGTTCTGCAATCAGATGAGCTACACCACTCTTGGGTCCTGATAAGAATATCCGTATATATATAGTGCTCATTACCAGTGATAAAATATGTGTCAGCATTGAGATTAGTCGTAAATGCGCCTGTTGATACATGTGCAATTGTACTCAACTCACGTGGGGCTAGGTATATCCCTCATGTATCACCTAGTTGCTGTTTTAAACAAGTTTTTTCAAAGCGATTACACTTGTCCTGTGCGCTAATCGTCCGCGGAATCTGTTCTAATTTTCGAGCTGCTTTTCTTCTCTGTGATTTCCAGAGTTACCGCGATAGTGCACAAAACTTGTCAGATTTGGAAAAGACTGATGAAGAAATCACCTGTCCTGACCCATCCATCGGTACTGTTTGTGATCTCATTGCCTCTAGTCCGGAGTCAAATACCTTTGACCAAGATCCCGATCCAGTTGAGTCACCTTCGAATGAGGATAACTTGGATAATTCTGGTGCGGTCGAAAATGATGATGTCTTTGGTTTGAGTGATGTTCGTGTTGAAGATTTTTTAGCGGACACCACTTCTGTCCAATCTGCTGATTGCACCTCCGATTCACTGGGAATTGAACAACGTTCAGAATCACCGAAGCCAACTGACATGGTTCAGGATTTAAGAGCGTTCGGTGTGCTTTTATGTGGGAATCTTCTGAAACAACTACCCACGTCGGCTGAGCCGCTCATTCAACAAGTGCTCCGAACACTTACAGTCGGTGACAGCCCACCTGATCCGAACGCATTTGTTGATGTTGAGGCCAAGGTGAGTAGTGTGTCGTATTTGTCTAGTCCAACTGGATCGCTCGTGTTCTTGTCATTTTTTAACTGAGGTTGAGGGAATGCAGCTCCCTGACAGCATGTTTTCGAGCCTTTTAGCTTCACTTCACTGAGGCTTCCCATTGAACACTCAACAAGAGTAAAAACAAGTTGACAGACAAACTTTTCCTCCTTCAATACATCCACCGGGCCAGATACCATATCATTATGGTTAAGTTGCTCTTCAGTTGTGTTGTCGGGTCCCCCCAGTAGAGCGCCATAAGAAATGCCCCGTTGAAGCTACCTCTAGTGCCGAGCTTTACGTTTGGATTACGACTGGTCCAGTCATAGCCAAGATAGGGCTAGGTGATTTATGGTCACAGTTTATCCACTCCAGGGTAAAACCATAAGATGAGCCATATCTCTTACCACCGACCTACGATGGAATTGAGAGATTTTAGGCCAAAGTTCTGATCATAATCAACTACAAACCATGTGCAGTTCCGTTCGCCGATGGTCTTGGAAAATCGGGGTGAATAGCTGCCTATGGGAGACAGTGGCAGATGTTGTTGTCAGGCCAATCCAGAGGTGATGGTAGACTTTTCCTTTGGGGAGATCGGGACGGAAGCTAGGCATTGGAAGTAACAGTTCAGACGTCGAATCAAACGTGCGCCATACTATCTGACAACTGATGTGCCTGTATCGGGGTCTCCACCCAGGGAGATGGCAATGACCAGTGTTGATACTGGCTTTCGTGCCTTGTTACTAAGTAACTGCTTGAAATCACGGCTCACTTCCACCATCCACGTGGGTGTGCCAGAAAAGCTTTATAAAGAAGTCGGTTGACCGACATGCGTGGCCAAGCTAGCACATTGTATGAAGTGCGATCAGCGCATTTGTCGTAAGTGAGTCATTTCCTCCGAAAACCATTCCACGTAATTTAGCATTACGATGCGATGGTCCCACCAGACTCGGGCAGTCATCCGAAGACACGGATGACGGTTAAAGACTGAAAGTTTTTTGGCCTCCTCAGCCCAAAGCGTTCAAATTTCTAACCCATATGACAACATTGTGCGCACCGCGACACTTGACTGATGTCATATCTACGTCACAGATAGTGCAGGTTTTGGACTTTCCGATCCAGATGGAAATATCGTCTTGTTCTGATACCCTGCCTTACCCGATACCTCTGGATGTAGTGAATTCACGTGAACTCTTACCATAAACCTTCACACTTCCGCGGGATTTGGCGTACACCGCTCTGCGGAGGGCAATTACTCCACAGGTGCTACCAGAGTGTCTAACAATCAACAGAATCAAAGACAGCATTCAAGTCAATAAAGGTAAGCACTGTTGTTTCCGGAATCAATGTCCCTTCCGAAATCTGTCGGAGAGAATATGTGATCTTTCCATCCTCTTGCAAGACGGAACTAAGTTTGGCTTTCACTGATCTGTCCCTCTTTGTGTTCAATCAATCTTGGGAAGATGAGGACGAAGGCCACCGATGACACAATGATTTTCACACGCTGTTCGCGCACCCTTCCTGAAGTCAAGTCACGTGTCACATTCTCGGGGCATTTTCTTTTCGTTTTGTGTAGCACCACTCAGTTTTTTTTACGTGGTTAACCGGAAATCTTCCGCTTTCGTTGAAGTGGGCTGGATGCAGACCGTCAGGTCCTTCTGCCTTCTCAAATTTTAAAAGAGATATTTCGTACTTTCTTTCTTTATTTCTTTTATTTCTTCGTTCTTTCTTTATTTCGTACTTTCTTCCGACGGGCTACTGAGACTTACATTCTATTCGTTTGTAGTGTTTGTAGGGGCTGTTACAGCGGCTCAGCTTAGCTGTTTTTCGAGGTGTTCGGCCCATCTTTCCAGCCGTCATTTTTGCGAGTGAATCAATTATCCGCCTTTTTCACTTATCGTTTTACTGAGCGTTACTTTCCTGTAGCCAGTTCATCGTATTAATCGGTATAGGGCACGGACGTTTTCCTCGGCAAAAGCCCTCTCCATCTCCCGAGGTTTCGCTGTGCACCAGAGCTATTGGTCTTTCCTCAGGCCCCTCACTATTTGGCGTTTGAGGAATTTGCGCGCGCCCTCTTACTGGTATGGATTTCCAAGCATCATTCAGGGCTAGTGACCTCAACGATATCCAGTGGACATTCGATTGTACCGGAAAAGTCGGAAAGACAACACTGAAAGCCACAAACATAGCTCCCTCCATATTTTGCCATGCTTCATCCACGTGCTCGCTACCAATATACTGTTGGTTTACCGTAGAGAGTTGTTGAGCTCTATCGGATCGATACTCTTCAGCTGCGTCACCACGCTTGAGTCTCGTATGCCCGTTTTAGAAACAGCATACATCAACTTCAAAATAGTAGTGATCGTTCAGCTGTAACACTTTTTCGGTATCTAGCTGTCATGCCACCCAAGGGAAGCACAAGGGCTGAGATTCTGTCAAGTTGCCCAAGCGTAGACAGGAGTGGTCGGGATGCCTGGTTTGGGTTCGAACGATGAACCTTCCGGTCAGTGAAATGAATTTTCATGATACACTTGGTGAGTGGTTGATGAGACTTGGTGGGCTCAGGTCTAACTGTTCTCAACATATTGATACCACACCGGAAGCATAGTATCCAAAGGTTTTTCAGGGCTATTTCCCCTCCGGGTACACAGCGGCTCTCATCTCACTGCGAACCACTTTGCAGTCTATC